GGCGCAAGGACAAGCCTTAAATTATGTGCTTTCTTATTCAGTAAAGGACTTTGGCAAAGGACTGAAACAGAATAAATAGGGAAAGCTTTTCTGAATCAAGATGGGATTGCTGGATCTTTTAAGATGACAGTTGTTTTGGAGGTGCAATAGAAGTATGGGTACATCAAAGCATACTTTACTAGGTATCTGGTGGCTTCAAGTCACAGAAGTGAGGGTTTGAGTCACTGGGAGCGGGAGCAGGAGTCAAATGGTTGCCTTCTAACATTCCTTGTACAAAATCATCCCTGAGAAAGTTTGCACAGTTTGTCACACAGCCTCTAATTTTTGTTTGTGGAAGACACTATATGAAGAACGTCTCTAAATGTTGGAGTTTAGTTGTCTTATGACTTGGAGAGTTCCATACTTTGCCCCTGAAAAGCCAAATCTTACTCCTGAAGAAGAGTATGGCCACAGCCATCTCTGTACATAGATGAAGAGGATGGGGTACTCCAACAGTTCAGAAATCCTGATCTGTCTCTGGCAGAAGATTGTGCGATTCCTACAGAGCCCGTCTCCAATATTCTGGTAAGATTTTTCTTTTGTGTTTGTGTGATTCTCCCACACCTTAAGTACCTCCAATTTGTAAGCCAAGTACAGAGCTAATTCCAATCTCTGTGTTTAAAATGCAGTAGGACAGTCTCTTAGTATCCGGTTGTTACTGAGGGCTTGCACAAGGAGCAGCAGTTTCAGGAATCAGCACGGTGGCATGTGAGGGACAAGCCTGGCTTTCCTCCTGTGTTCTAACTAGGCAGCCTGAGAGACATGATGAGCTCAGAGCTTAGGGCAAACTGGAAATATTTTACAGTTATACTTCATGATTGGCTGGAATTTTGATTAAAGGTTTACAGATTTTTTTAGAGCAGGGGGACATCTTTCAGAGCATCTTTAAGGTTTAGATGCATTTTTGTAGTGGTAAAACAAAAAGACTTTGTTTACTGTACTGGTTCCTGATATTCATTTCTCTTTCATACGCAGTACAGCCAGTTATAAAAAAGGAAAATGTCACTGTTCAGCAGAAGTTTTTAAAAGTTTTGATAGAAACTGCAAATGCCACAAGAGAATGAAACTTTTCAACATGTGAATTGTGAATAATCCCTAAAGAATTCCTTAGAATTCGCTTGCTTTACTTCTGCATTTTAGGAGAAAAGGTAGCATGCACAAAGCAAGGCAGGTACCTGAGAAAGAAATTAAGTCTCTGACTTGATAATTCAGTTAATGGGGATTAACTCTTTACAGAGTTAATCACTTCTAGTAATTCTTTGTAGGTGTGTTCTGCTAAGCTTTAGCAGTTCTCACTGCTTGATCCTTTTCTTTTGACCAGCTATTCTGAACTAGAAAGGATCTTTTTCATTAAAAAAACGTATCTAAAGTTACTTTTTAACACAAGTAGCTTCATTAATCTTCAAATGACTTGTCCCATCTGCTTTGCTTTAATTTGGCTGGCATTTACACAATGAGTTACAGACCAAAAACCAGACCAAGCCCATTCTGGGATGCCTCGCTGCTGAGACAAGCAATGTGCTGTGAAATCGGGCTCAGTTCTGAGCTGCCAGTCTGCTCACCCCGGCAATGTGCAATTTACCAGCTATGTAAGGTCTCATTTTAATTCAAGGAAGAGACACAGCATTTATGCACATGCACAGCATTTCCCCTCCAAAAGGCAAGAAAAGCGTCTACATATTTTGTCTGGCAGAAAACGTAAGAGAACAGCTTTGCATAATCACACAGCAGTTCGCAGAATGAAAGAAATCTCACTTTCAGAGCACTTTTTTTCCTCTCATTCATTTCTTGAATCAGCCCTAATAGATTCACAGTCCAGGTAACATTTCAATTATTTAAATATTCTTGTTACTTGCAGAAAAACAAGATGCTGTTGTCCTCCATCTCAAAAGAGGACGAAGACGGGAAAGAAGTAGAAAGTCAGGGAAGGAGAGGAAACAGTCTGCATCACATGAAGTGAGACAATAGCACAAAAGAAAGGTGCGCTGAAGACATTGCTAGCTAAAATAAGACAAAAGAGGTAGGGGGCGGTCAGGTGGACTCGGGACCTTCAATTTCTGTGGGAATAAGAATGTGGTAGGGACAGTGGTTCAGGGACCAGCAGGCTAACCTGAGACTGAGATGATGTACACACCTAAGTGTA